AAACATACAGAAAAACTATATCCACACGAGCAAAGATGTTCACATAGATATGAAAGCGGAAATGACTTGGATGATCATCTGACAGATAGCAAGATGGCGGAAAATTATAGTTCTTTGTTCTTTCATTATACTTATTTATTTATTTATACATTTATTTATTTAAAATCACAGAATTTATCATCACTATTGTCATAAACAGTAATCATTTAATGATATAATCTATAATTTTAATCTCAAAAACACACACACACGCACGCACACACACACGCACGCACACACACACACACGCACACACGCACATACTAACGTCATCATCATAGTGGTAATATACTTATCATCATCACAATCTTTTTCAAGAAAAAACTTAATAGTAGAATGCAAAGCTATTGATAAGAATTAATATATACCAATATATAAATGTATGTATGTTTGTGTGTACATCTATATTTATGTATATCTATATGTATGTATATATGTATGTATGAATATATGTATGTACGTACGTATTTATGTATGTATGTTTGTGTATTTATGTATTTATTCGTTTGTTTATCTATTGTTGGTTCATATTTGACTGAACTTTTTTTTTTTTTGACTGAACTTGTCTTCTACAAAGTGTTTGATTGTATGTAAAGGTAATTACACATACGTACACAAAGACACACACACACAAAAAAACACACACACATACAAACACACACACACACATATAGAAAGACGCAGACACACACACACATAAAAAGGCACAGACTCAAACTATGATTAACTGTATATGACAGGACTGCTTTTATTATCCATACAAAAAGAATGTTTATATTTTCCCTGTATGAGGATCTTCAACACGTAAGCCTCTTAACACTAAAAAAATGTACACTACTCACACACACACATCACACACAAACATACATACATACATACATACATACATACATACAAACAAACATACAAACAAGTCCATTACTTCATGTTTTGCCGCCCACCGCGGAGACATCTTGATGCTCCATTGATCCCTTCATTATGTATGTATGTATGAGTGTGTATGTTTGTATATATGTTTGTATCTATGTATGTTTGGTGTGTTTGTTTGTGTATGTGTGTGTGTATGTGTGTACATCACGTTCTGGAACAAGAAATGCGGGCTTTGCATAATGAATGAACAACCAGTGCCGCCGACCATCTATCAAAAAAAAATCTGCCCAACCAATCAAATCAACCTGCTAAAAACAACTAACCAATCATTCAACTAATCAATCAATCAAGATATATATCAATCAAAATATCTATCAATCAAGATATCTTTCAATCAAGATATCCATCAATCAAGATATCCATCAATCTAGACATCATTCAGACAATGAACAAATTGATCATTTAATTAACCACTCAACCGATCAACCATAACAACAAAGCATTCAACCAGCTGATCAATCAACCGACCAATCAATCAGTCAAACAACCGCTCCACTAATCAATCAATCAATAGAGACAAACACACATACATACACACATACATGCACACATACACACACTCATGCACACATACACACACTCACACACACATACAAAAATATCAACAGACACAATGGAAGTTTATTTGCATTCCTAATGAATTGGGCTCATTCAATCTATCAATCACGAATGACGACGATGATGATGACGAAGAAGATGAAGATGAAGAAGATGAAGATGAAGAAGAAGAATATGACGATGATGACAATGATGATAAATACCATTATCATCATCTTCATCATCTTTACAAATTTTACCGAGGTCAAACTCTGCTGACCAGTGTTTAATGTTCCATCTCAAAATTATTTACCCTATTGCATCCGACGCGCGCACACACACACACACACACACACACAAACACACACACACACCACACGTACGTGCGCACAAACACGTACAAATACGTACAAACACACGCAAACACACACACACAAACAAACATAAAACCATTCACTTGCACAATCATTCGCACATTCATTCGCACATATTGCCCGCCTCTATACTATGCTGGAAAATTTTTTAAACACACTCACGCATAACATATGTACATGTAGGCAGATACAAACATAGGCACACATATTGACAAACAAACACATATAAACTTGAAGGAAGAAGAGATAAAGAGTATGAGAGAGAGAGAGAGAGAGAGAGAGAGAGAAAGAGAAAGAGAGAAAAAGAGAAACTTACAAAATAAATGCCTACACTTCCATACATTTACACATATATACAAATACACACACACATACACAAAAACACACTCGAATCAGTAGAAAGAAAGAAACAGATCAATAAAAACACACGCACACAGACCCGCACACAACGCACACAAACACACACTTACACACACACGCACGCATACACTCACACGCACGCAAACACGCACACACACGCACGCACGCACACGCACGCACGCTTATTCTCAGGTCAAGCAGAGGTCAACAACAGCGAAACACTGGGCCGTACTTCGAGATGTCAATCAAGTAAAAAACCTGCCCCCATTACTGCAAGCGTACACGCTGCATCACAGGTTTAAAAAACTAAATCGTCTGACGATGATGATGACGTAGTAGAGCACGTGATGCTATAATTAGAAACATTTATAATATCGATGTCGATGTATTAATGACGTCATAGTTCCTAATTAGTTACTTGATTACGCCATTTGAGCAACGGAAAGAGAAAATGATAGAAAGGCGGGAAGAGAGAAATAAAAAAATTAGAAAAAATGGAGAGGCAAAAGAGAGAAAAGAAAGAAAAAGAGAGAAAGAAGGAGGAAAAAGGAGGAGAGTAGGAAGAAGAAAAAAGAAAAAGAGAAAGAAAGAGGAGAAAAAGAAAGAGAGAAGGAGAGTGAGATGAAATGAATGAGAGAAAAGTTAAAACGTTAGAAATAAAATATGGAGAGAGGGATTGAAAGGCTAAAATTAGATTCGGAAGAGAGAAAAAGACAGAAAGATGAGAAAAAAGAAAGAAAGAAAGAGAGAGAGAGAAAACGAAAGAAAGAAATAGAAAGAGGAGAAAGAAAGAAAAAAAAGAGAGAGAGAAAGAGAGAGGAGAAAGAGAAAAAGACAAAACAAAACTAATGAAAATAAAGAATGGAGAAATGGAGAAGGCTTGCAACATGTAGACTACACGGGTAATACCGTTTTAATGCCAGCAGAACATAAATCACGTGCACAAGGTGGGTAAGTGGTACTGGTAATGATGATGATGATGATAATGATGACAACGATGATGATGATGACGATGGTGTTAGTGGTGATAACGATTACGATGACGACGAAAAAGAAGATGATAGTTTTGATGGTAATGATGACGACGACTACGTTGATGATGATGATGATGATGAGGGGGAGGAGGAGGATGATGATGACGATGTTGATGATGATGATGTTTGTTGGCGGGAAATTTAATAAAAACGTCAGATCGTCAATAACACGTCGTCTAATAATAAATTAGAAGCAAGGTGATGACTGGAAAATGACATTCACACGCACACGCACACGCGCGCACACACACACTCACATTACGTTTGTATGTGTGTGTGTGTGTGTATGTATGTATGTGCGTGTGTATGTGTGTATGTATGTATGTATGTGTGTATGCATGTATATCTTTGTATTTTTGTATTTTTTACCTGTGGAATTTTCCAAATAAAAAAAAACTGGTAGGGCCATGATTGATGACGGTAAGATTTTGTTTGAATTCCTTACTTTTCTTTAAATTTTCGCCTTTCCTTTAGATTCCATTCAAATTTGACCTCGACACTTTTTTCATGATTTTATTAACATTATTACTTTATCATTTATTTTATTACATTTTATTATTATTCGTATCAAATATTATTATATTATTAAAAATATTTTTTTTGTGTATAATAATGTAATAAAAATATAATATGGAATGAAAATTTTTTGATTGAAAAATTTTGTTTTTTGCCGAGAAAATTCTAGAAAAAATGTTTTTTATTCAGTTTTATTGTTTGTTCCTTAACGCTAAAATTAATGGCAATCAGTCATGCATGCATATTTTGTGAAATATTTGACATTTAAAATCTTTATACACCAAGAGTTTGAGACTAGTTGTGGCAAAGACTGATGACACCCGTGAAATTTGAGAATTCTCGATAAAGTTTACGGTTTCGCACCTGTTTTGGTGAAAATGTTAAAAGTTTGTAATGGAGACAAGAAAGTCTGTTGTTCATAGTTTTGCTCGTGCATCATCTTGAGAATATAAGTGAGATGTTTCTTGATTTGCGTTTTTGATGCCGTTTAATTATGATGTTAGTAGTAGAAAAAATTATGTTTATGTTTGTAATTATAGTTAGTTAATTATAATTGATAGTTTATCTGAACAGTTGGTATTACCATTTTACAACAAAGGGTGCAATGTAAACCTGGCCAACATAGCCCGGGAGCCTATGCTTTCAACAGCTCTGCCTATTTTGTCAATCCCTACCAAACATTGGTGGCTCATCTAGTGGTCGATGGAAAGAACGGCTTAAACAACTATTTGGCACTTTGTTCTCTCACCGTACCCGGGTTCGAACCCCACTGGATTGGAGTGGACCTTGGAAATTTGTTTTCAATCAACTACACGATTGTATATGTTGGACTGAGTAAGTTCTTCAAATTAAAAAAAAATTTGACAATAGGTATATGAATTTGATACATTATTGCTAACAGTTTGTTAAACTACTTTACCAGACAACACCTCTCTACCAATACCAACATGGAACGATCTAAACTTCTTCATAGTGGGGGTGAGCAACAGGTTCCTGGATGTTCACCCGCCAGTGAGAGGCACCTACGATCTCTGTGCTCAATATCCAGGTGTGGTTGCTTCGAAGCAGGTGGTTCAGTTAAATTGTTCCTCTACTACGCCTCCAGCCAGATACGTCATACTGCAACAACCTTCCAACTCTACTGGATACATGTCCGTCTGCGAATTCGAAGTCTACGGAATTCCTTACTGATTGGCAAGATATTTAAGGATAAAATGAATAATGCAAAAAAGCAAATGTATTTATTCTTAAACTAAATGTTTCACATTTAATAACATTTTTATTGGCAAGTTTCAAACATTTTTTTTAATAAATTATATATGAATAAATTCATCCCCCCAAGCGCATAGAAAAAACCTCCTCCTCAGCCAGCCCTTGACACCGGATCACATAGTTGACGGATTCCACGACATCCAGCTTTCAGGATGCCATTGTGGCCACACGGCAGAAACTACAGGAAATCCAAATTGGTATGTGGTGGATATGCAGGGCAAGTACTATGTCGACTACATCATATTCACTGTCCGACTGGTGAATTATCGTGAGTGGTCAGTCTGTTAATGCATTTATTAGCATAAATATATATAATTTTATTACGTTTATTAGTATTTTTTTCATCTGCGAAAATCAACTTGTTTCGCTTTTCATAATTTCATAAAATGTGGGCACATCTTTTTTGTTTGTGTTTTAGCAGCATTCTATTTTAAACTCGAAATTTGAGTAATTCTTAGATGTAGAATGTAGGCTGGTTTAATAGGCTGAAATTTGTTTCAAAAACAACTTCGAAGGTTTTTGTAAAAATTTGCATTTTTGAATGGCAACCCAAAGTAAAAAATTTTTAATGTACAAGACTGTATTTTACCCTGAAATAGCATTAAATGTAGAACGAGCAAAAAAAACAAGCAAGCTTAAATCTTTGTCAGCACTTCTCATTTACAACAAATGATAACAACATTTTTGGCTGAGAGCTATTCTGCCCGAGCGTTCAACAGACGTATGCTTGTATAATAGTTATTGTAAGACAGTTAACGAAAATTATTACTCCAGTGGATCACAGGGCCGACAATTTTTTGATTGGATTGACCAACTCGGCCGGATACCAGCCAGTGAGAAACCAGTATCCACTCTGTGGGCAATGGCCAGGGCAGGCTGCACCTGATTCGAACTGACCATGAAGTGCAATGCCAATCTCCCTCCCTTCAGGTATCTCATCACCCAGCAAGCCGCTAAAGCCGGGGCTGGCTACTTCACTGTGTGTGAGCTAGAAGCATATCCTGCCGATGTTGAAGGTCTCAGTTTCATTTAATTAAATGAATATTTATGAGAGCTTCTTAAAAGTTTAAAATAATTTATTAACATAATATAAATAATATATTGTAAAACTCCGTTCTATCCACAAAAATAGAGCAGAATAGAAATTGCTGAACACTATTATTGAAACTATTAAACTTTGTGGAAGAATATATTGTAATGAAATGTAATGAATGTAAATGTAATGTAAATGTAATGAATGTTTAATATTTGTACAGCGACAAAATTTGTGTTGAAAAGAAAGGCAAGTATGTATTTGAGTGGCTACAGAGTGCAGACAATGAGTGTAAGAAGTGCCATTGAATGTCTCCACCGCGTTCGTAAAGTTGGCGGATGTGATTCCATTAACTTCAATGCAGCTTCCAAGACATGCGAACTCAACAAACATCAGAATGGGTACAGCGGTCTAGGTTTGAATGCTAACTGGGCTTTTTATGTAGTCCAGTATTACTGATGTTTGGCTTGAAGATTGTTTAAGATCTCTACATAAGCTGATCAACTAACATGCACTTTTACAATTTACAAACATTTTTTATTTAAATTAGGAACAATGCAGTGAATTGTTTAATATTTTTTAAATGTTTTTGACAAAATTTAGAGAATTTTGAGTTCTTTATTTTACATTTAGAATAGTTCCACCATATATTAATTTCTAATTTTTTCAACTCTTTACATAGTTACAATAAATGAAAACTTACATTGTTCATTTTTTCACGTCAAAACCATCACAAAAAAATTGTAAAAATAAGAAAAAATCTCAACATGAAAGAAGCTATCCGCCACATCCGAAAAATGCCAAATGCATGAAACAGCAGTTCAGTTATTTACAATTCTATAGACTCCATAGGAACAACGAATTATTAATCCAAAGTGCTTCCACTAAGATTTTATCTCTGAAAAAAATATCACTTCGCAGAAACATTTATCATTTCTAATGTACAATTTATTCTATAAAAATTGTCTCTACCATCGTCGTAAGCTTAATTTTTTATATAAATTCACATTCTTATAGGCTATGATTCTAATTCATTTATTGAACAAAAAGCGAATGAATAATCTACTCCAATTCCGATATTAAATATTCGTTTATATTCTTTACGATGATAACGGATGGCGTCTATTTAGCATAATAAAGAACTTTTTTATTGGGCTAAAATCTTAAAAATCATTGTTGGCTATATTTTTTTGCCATTTTGCTACCAGAATTCATTAATAACTTGTCGCGGTGTGGTATATAAGCTTGGAGCTAGAGAAGAATTTCACTGATTTAAAAAAAAAATTGATTGTCTTTAACCTATTAATTAGTATTTAAAATAGTTGGTGAGGGTAGCGTTAGGAGCTATTTTGGACTTGTTAGTGATGATATTCTGTTCTTTGGCAGCGTCATGTTGTGGTTTCTGGTGTTTTTGTGATGGGAAAATTTTTGAAAGGTATGAAAATCTAGTTTATATACAAAAAATACTTTACCATAAAAACAAGTTTAAATATTAACAGAAACAAGTTTAAATATTAATAAATCCACTTGTTGGCACAGCTAGATTGTCAAAAAAGCCTCAAAAACCTGGCGCTTGGTGCATTCACGTACAGCAGTTCAGCTGCTCTTTTTGGTTTAACGAATTTTTGTACTTCATATCGGGCCGTCGAGGGAATAACGATCCATGCTTTTAATTATACAACTACCGTATCACAGGCTGGAACCGCATTGGATTGGCGTGGACTTGGGAAATTTGTTCACGATTATCAATGTGGTCTTACATCCCGGAAAAGTTTCCTTAAGTATAATTCATCTGTTTAGATGGTTGGAGTTTTTGTTTCAAGATTCATTTTTATATAACGAATTCAGAGGGAAGTCTAATACAGAACGATCTGAACTTCTTCATAGTGGGGGTGAGCAACAGGTCCCTGGATGGTCACCCGCCAGTGAGAGGCGCCTACGATATGAGGTTTGATGGATTCCAATTCAATCAGTGTAAGTGAGGAGTGCGTTGGAGTGCATGCATAAGTGCATGCAGCTGGGAGGGTGTGACTCCATCAACTTCCATCCAGCTTCCAAATTGTGTCAGTTCAATTTTCATATTAATGGCTACAACCATTCAATTACCTATGAAGACACCAATTGGGCAATTTAAACCGTCAATTATTATTGAAAAATGATTTCGTTTCAATGACCAATTACATTTTAAAATCTGTAAAATGAAAAAACACCATTATTGAATGTTTCTCATGAATATAAATAACTTAAATGCGTTTTTATGGTGTGTTGGGTTGGTTTAAAATTAAGCATCAAAGCCATAACCTAACAAAGAGACAAAAATTCAATATGTAGAATAAAAAGTTTCTAGTGGTTAACATTTTGTGAAGAGCTCTGAGCAAAAATTATTATAAAATTAAATGGACAAATGATGTTAGATAAACTTGAAACACATATTTAAACTAATTCCTTCACTTTGATACAATGAAGACGAATCGTCATCACATTTTAGTGGTTAAAATTTTTTTAAATATAGTCTCCGGATTAAAATACCATAAAATAAATTCTAATACACAAATATATGTAAAATTTTTTATAAATAAAAACGCTAAATGTTGAAGACAAAGCATGGAAAAATGAAATAATAGTTAGATTTCCCATTACCCAAAACCATTCACAAATATGAAAATCGTGTGACAATATTTCAAAACAATGCAATGACAGAATGAAACAGAAATTTTTATCTGAATGAAAATCGAATAAAACGTACATTAAAACGACTAAGAACACACACGCAACATACACAAACACATACACCAATACAAACACACACACACACGTACACAGACTGGCTCAAATAGAGAGACACATACACACAGACATATACAAACAATATAGGTTTTTTTTCTATTTGGAAAAGACCGGGTAAATTAAATATTCCATTGAATTCGATAGAATATTTTAGGAAAGATAATGTTTGTCATGCGGTATCATTGTTCATAATGCACGTTCGTTCAATAAAATAATAAATTCTTTGGTTTGGGATATTTTTGCTCATACATAAAATTTCGTCAGAATTTATATGCAGAGAGTAAAGTGTTTTGGAAGTTTTACGAGAAAATGTATGCCTCTGATGTGAAAACCAAATTTTTCGTTCACTTTTATTGCAGGTATATACACAATTATTTATTGCTCTGTTGTAGAAGTTTGGAGGAGTTTATAAGCTTGAATCCGTTGAAGTCAGTCACTAAAATCACAAATAGTACAGTTGCTGCGACTGTGATTTCTACTACTACGACTACTACTATACTACTACTGCTGCTGCTACTACTACTACTACTACTACTACTACTACTACTAATAATAATAATAATAATAATAATAATAATTTAAAGCCGAATAAATGAAATTTCTAATATTTAAAATAATATTTATAAGAATATTAGGTTAGTTCTGAAGACTTCAATTTTATAAAGAATTTGTTTTTAAATATAGCCTATATTATATTTTAAAATTAGACATCAAATTCTTGAAAAATATTTTTAAAATATAATATTTAAAGAAGTATGTATATATATATTAATATAAAAAAACACCATCAGATGGGAATGATATTGAGCCGACAAACCTGGCTCTGGGTGCATTCACGTTCAACAGCTCGGCCCATGTGTTAAATTTCACAGTAACTTTCACGTCCTACTTCGCGGTAGACGGCAGAAAGGGTTGGTACTGTTCCATGACGCGGTGCGATGCCATGGACCACTGGATTGCCGTAGATCTGGGAAACATTTTTTCCATATTATATACAATTGTGTACGCCTCTGACTCAAGTAAATTAACCAATGTTTTAGATATTTATCAGAAATTTTTTTTATACCTAATAAAATTTTTAAAAATTTTCTAAGATCCCAATGATTTACAAATACGGAACAATGTCAGCTACTTCATAGTGGGGGTGAGCAACAGATCCCTGGATGTTCACTCGCCAGTGAGAGGCACCTACGATCTCTGCGCTCAATATCCAGGTGTGGTTGCTCCGAAGCAGGTGGTTCAGTTAAATTGTTCCTCTACTACACCTCCAGCCAGATACGTCATATTGCAACAACCTTCCAACTCTAGTGGCGTTATATCCATCTGTGAATGGGAAATCTACGGAGTCCCGTTTGGAAGTTGAATTCAAAATTCTAACACTATACAAAACTCATAAAATCAATTTAGAATTTGTAGCCAAACGTCTCGCAAATTTCCTATTTATTTTACTAAACGCAGAGTTTCCTGTCAACCTGCTGTTGAACAAAACAGTCAACATCAGTTCCATCTACAACGATTTTGTCTGCGGAGTGTTGAAGGCAGCGCTGATAGTGGACGGATTTCACGACACCTCCCTCTACAACTGCCACTGCGGACACAACAACGATGGTTCCGGAGGTCCGAACTGGTACATGGTTGATATGGAAGCTAGTTATTTTGTTGATCGGATCGTATTAACGGCAAGAGGAGGTTTGACAATCATTTAAATTCTACGTTACGAAATAACTGAATCAAAAGTTTTTCACTTGTCTGTGTTAGCAATGGTAAATAATTTTGTCATAGAATGATTGTATATTAATTCGAACTGCTTTGTTTCAAAGATTCGCCAAACATCACTCGAATTGCCCGTCGCCTGGACAACTTCATAATCGGACTGACCGATGTAGACAGCTCAACCTCACCTCCGCAGAGGAACAACTATCCAATGTGTGCCACCTGGCCCGGTTCCGTTAAGATAGGCAGCAGAGTTGAACTGAAATGCAATGCCAATCTGCCAAAATATAGGTACCTGATCGCACAGGCCAGTGCAAACACTCCAGATGGGTTTTTTGCGATCTGCGAGCTTGAAGCTTACGAACCTTTAGACGAAAGTAATTTTTTAAATACATAGTATTTCATTTTTTAAGGTGCATTTTTTTAGATTGTAAGTGGTTGGTTTGTCTTTTAACATCTTGATTCTTACTTGTAGCGGGAATGTTTCTGCAAATTTTGAATTGCTAAAATTTGCGTTTTTGTAATTCATCAGCACCAGAATTTTTTCTTTACAACAACTTGCTCCTTTTCCAGATTCATTCAGATGGAAAAGAAAGTCAAACGTGAGATTGGCTGGATTCCAATTCAAGCAGTTGAACGTGAGGAGTGCACTGGAATGCATGCATAAGTGCAAGCAACTGGGAGGATGTGACTCCATCAACTTCCATCCAGCTTCTAAATTGTGTCAGTTCAATTCTCATGTTAATGGCTACTACACCACCACACTTACGAGCGACACTAATTGGTCGTTTTATACGGTCAATTATAGTTAAAAACTTTCAAAACAAACCAAATCTCTAGAAAAAACTGACTCTCACAAATTTCAATTCATTTGAAGTAATTGAAAAATTGCAAAAAATAGAAATCTTTTACTCTTTTTGCGTTTTTTTTTGCTGCGTTTAGTAAATTAAACAGCGTTTAAATTCTAAAAATGTCGTGGCGGATTGAATGAATGAATGAATTAATTAATTAATGAACGAATGAATAAATAAATTAATGAATGATTGATCGATCGATTGATTGATTGATTGATTGATTGATTGATTGATTGATTGATTGAT